ATGGGTCGTCCGTGCGCGCGGAAACGGATCTCAGTCGTTCGATCGCGCGCATGCGAATCACCCACGTGGCTCCCTCCCGAGTGGCCTTCCGTGGCAGCATCTCTGCCACCTGGCGTGTTCTGGTTGACTGGGACTGCTGACCGGGCAGCTAACATGGCACAAATTTTTTAAATTGTGTTTTGACCTCCGATTTTTTATTTTTCTTTCAAAAATACCCCCAAAACCTAAATTTTTATCTCCTTTCCCCAAATTTATTTTCAATTAAATCCCTAAATAATTTTTACCCCTTATTATTATTATTTTCATTAAATTAAATTTAATTAAATTAAATTAATATAATATAATAATAATAATAATTTTTTTTTTTTTTGTGTTACACCAAATAACCAAGTCTCCCTAGCCCATCCAGTATGAGATAACGTTCACGGTAGAGTTCTCTATGAACCCGGTCCGTCCACTATCTCCTAAAATATCTAGTGAGGCTGTCGTTTTATCTGTTTATTTGATCACACTCCTTTCCTGTTTTTTCTTAGTCCCCGTTACTAAATCAAATATAATCACATAAACAATGAACATGCATCCGATAATACAATCATATCTTAAATTTCAAAATCAAATAGTGGTCAAGTAAGGCAATAATAGATACATTTAAATCATAAAATAGATAAAACAGATACCATCATGCTTTTAAACTGTAAAATAAATAAACAGAAATCAACAGAGAACAATGTCCGATTCGAGCTCCATTAGTAATCCGTATTTAATTATGCACATCTATTTAATTTGTACAAAAGACCGTATTATCATTTATTCAAACTTCAAATCTATGATAGAAAATAGGGTGAGGGCTCCTTACTTGATTTGACGCCGAAAAGGTAAATGGTTTACTGCGCCTACGAATGGTCCTTGGGTTCTCTGAAATTTTTTTCAAGAACTGAAACGCACTTATGGTACCTATAAATGTCTCGAATAAACTCAAAAGTCAATCTAAGAGCCTACTCGGCCAATTTTAAAAATCCGACACAGCGGCTCCACCGTTCTCCGGCGACGGCACTGTCGTCGACGACAGCGGTCTGCCACGGGTCGACCGTTTTTGACCATTTTTAGGCTAATTCAGTCGATTTTATATTGATTCCTGCAAGCACACATACTAAAGGGTCTCGGTGGGTCGAAAAAATATGAAAAATAGAAACTCACCGGCGGCAACGCTCTCCGGTGCGGTGGCTCCTCCGGCTCACGTTGCGGTTGGGTGTTTCGCGCCGGTCAACCTATAGAGAGGAAAAATATGATCACAACGGTAGAAAAATTACACGAAATAGGAATCGGAAAGGGCCTCATCGGAGGCAGTTTGTAAAATTCCTCGCGGCAGCGCCGCTGGGTTTCGGCGGTGTCTTTCGGCTAATTGACCGGTTCTTTCACTCCGATTTGGCCATGAGTGTGTTTAAAATTGAATTTCGTACAAAAAAATTTTTTTTTACCTTTTTTGGCAGTCGAAAAAGGTTCCGGTGCGGCGACATGTGGCGGCGGTCGGCTCCCCAGCAGCTGGATTGTCTTCTCTGGCGAGGGGTTCTGGCGGCTAGGGTTAGGGTGTGGGTATGGATTGAATTATTTATACCAATCTATTTTTTATTGGGCCGCCCATCACTTTTGATCTGAACCATTTGATCTCGATTAAATAGAGAGTGAATCTGAACCGTTCGTCACGATTCAATTTTGACAATTTTTAGCTTTAATCCATTTTGAGAAATAGTTTTAAAATATAAAATTACAGATTATTTTAAAGAAAATTTGAAATTAAAAAATCATTTTGAGAATTAAATCATTTTAGTATTATTGTAATTTTGCTAATTTTGTTGTTTTCTTATACTAATATATGGATATTAAACATGACATTTTATGTCTTGGCCATAAATCATTCCTCCTCCTTGATTTCTAGAGGCTTGCTTGGGTCCTCGGAGAAAACGAGGATATAAGTGAATGAGAACTACCGAAGGAGTGTCATTAAGAATCATCCTGATACATTTCTTTCAATGATTTAGACGCATCAAAGACTCTAAATCAGTTGACTTTGAATTTTAAATTAGGCAATTAATATCTTTTAATCTCCACCAACCCCCCCCCCCCCCAAAGGGCAATTAGTTCCTTCCCCGACCCCCAAAGGGCAATTAGTTCACAGTACTTTGTGCTTTAGAATTACTCAACATTAAGTGGAAGATTACAAGAAATTCTGAATTATACTTAATTATAAGAAAAAAATACTTATTAATTTGACAATAAATTGTTAGAACAATAGACTCAAATAATAAAAAGTATCCCATATTAAATTATTTACGTATATTTTTATCATAGAGCCGAAATTTTAAATTTGAGATATATCTCTCATCCGATCCACAACAATCAAGAAAATAATTAAGAGTCGTTTTCTTTTCGAAGATATAACGTTATTACTATAAATATCCCCGTTTAGATGATTCTCTGGGCAGGAGCAAGAAAATCTTTAATTCTTTAAATGGGTTGCCATGATATCATGATTGCTTTTGCATTTTTTATAACATATTTTCTTTGCAGAATGCTTCACAGATGCGAAGGCAATATGCTGTCTGGAGATTACATCACTGGAAATAAAACCCTGATTTCTGCAACTGGTACATTTGCATTAGGGTTCTTCAGCCCGGAGAATTCCAGTAAGAGCTACGTGGGTATCTGGTATCATGATTTAGGCCCCACAAAAACAGTTGTTTGGGTTGCCAACAGAGACTCCCCACAGGATTCTCCAGGCAAATTCACGCTCAGAGATAGCAACTTATTGGTTTTAGATAGTACAGGGAAGATTGTCTGGTCAACAAATATTACATCGCAGCATTCCGTAAACACAACAGTTGGATTGTTGAGAGACGACGGAAATCTTCTTCTCCTACATGACGAAGAAACCGTGTGGGAAAGCTTTAACACTTCTTCTGATGCAGCATTACCAGGAAAGATACTCAGTGTTAACAAGAAAACCAACAAAGAAGTTGTTCTGTCATCTTGGTCAAACAAACAAGATCCAAGACCAGGAATATTTACTTTCGGAATCGACCCACAAGGGTTTACTCAGTTCCTCACCTGGAAGAACTCTAAACGATACTGGAGAAGTAATGTGTACGGTTTGAGTGAAACAGAATCCACATATGGTGTGTGGAAGAATATGGACAACTTCCTCCTTACTTTAAACTTTCTTGGTGATGAACATTATATGAAATTCGAACTTATTTCACCAGGACACGTAGATAAAGCCAGTATATTTTTAACATCAGATGGACAAATCCATCTTCTCTTTTGGCTCGGTAATGTATGGGCATCTATTTGGAGTGCACCATCTCATATGTGTGACTTCTACGGATATTGTGGACCATCTGGTGTGTGTGACTCGATGAGTGAATCCTCTTCATGGCAGGTCTGTAAGTGTCTGCCTGGTTATAAGCCTAGAAATAAACAAGAATGGGATAAAGGAGAGTGGTCTGGTGGGTGCATGGTGGAAAGAGATTTAGACTGCAACAACAGAGATGGGTTTTTGAAGGTGAAGAAGATGAAACTTCCCGATCTACCAATAATGTTAGGGATGATGAATGTGAGTACATGCCAGTCCTGGTGTTTGCAGAACTGCTCTTGTTCGGCATATGGTTACTTCGATATGCCGAACAATAAAGTTAGGGATGATGATGTGGAAGGAAGAGATGATATAATTACATGTTTGAATTGGCATGGAAATTTGCTAGATCTTGTAGAACTGTTCTCTGGAGATGAAAAGGGTAGAGATCTCTATGTTCGAATTCCAGGCTCCAAATCTGGTATATTTAATTTCCTGTGTTTGTATTCTTCT